TACAAATATATATACAAAATTTAGTTTGTTGAGCCAGTGACTATACAAACGTGCACCAGGGAAAAGTGCACTGTTAATGTTGGTTTTAACAAACATGTTGATACATTTTAGACCCCAAAAAGGGGTGGCTAAATGTGATTTCAGTTGGACTTCAAATAAATTTGTGGTTTGATGCAGTGTGCAGATGTTTTTCCTTTTGCTGTTATTTTCTAAAGCCTTGCCCCTTCATGTGGTGTGATGGCGTATATTATTTTATGTGTATGATGCATCTTTTGACTAGTGCTTACAAGCCATTAGTGGCAGAATCCTACACAGTCTGCCTTTAAATAGAGCACCATTTCTTTCCCTTTTATGCCGACCTAAGATGTAGGATCAACCCTCCCTCATTTACCTCCCCAAAGCAACCTGCAAGATTCTGGCTTTCTATCCATGGTGACTATTTCATACAGTATCTTTTACCTTTAGTTACCTATACCATATTTACCACGTAGCTTAACTCCCTGTATGTCCTTGTATGTCTCATATTGAGAATTTGATGGTGGAGTAGTGTAAATCTTAATTTAGAGTAGCATAGATATTGCTGTGGATCACTGTTTCTTGGCTGCCAACAGAGAGTTTTATCAAGGATTTTACCAAACAGGGTGCTTTCTATTAGATTAGAATCTTTTTGTAAAAAAAATTAACATCTACACATGAATTCCAACATTTTTGGATTGCTGTTTAAGAGTTTAATTTAAAGGGATAGCTCAGATTTTTTGAAGAGGGGTTGTATCCATGTCAGACTCCAGCCTGCTTCTCTAAACTGGGGGCATGCCAACCGCCATCTACTGTAGGTAATACATTGACTTTGGATAAGTATCTCATACAACCCACTTAAAAAAATCTGAACTATCCCTTTAATTTAGTAGCTCTATACAGATAGAATTACAGTTTTATATGATGAAAGAAAAAAGATATGTCACTCCTCTGACTCTTAACGTTTCCACACTGAATACCTGTTCTTTTCAGTTTTTAACAGACAGGTCCTTAAGTCCTCTTCTTTACATGTTATCAGATTAATCTGTTAAATGAGAGACAGCAACATAAGAACTACTCAGGTGACATCCTGGAGCAACCACAGCAATGTCTTTGGTACCTTTTTTTCTGAACTAATCAATTAATTTCTGTCAACCCAACCATAGACACATGCACACAGATTTTAAGTCTTTGCTGACATAATCTAACACCTCTGATGGAGCATATAGTATGTAGTTACAATGTTCTATGATATGCCTGCATGCATGGCTTCTTCTTATTTTATGAATCCCCAAAGTGTACATTCTGATAGTTCAATGGCCCAGCAGTAACTGTTTATAATAATATATTTAGTCTATATGAAGTCTCAGTTTGACTAAAGTTACAATGATGTTTAAAGCAATCTGTTATGCAATAGCTCTCATTCTATTTGAGGTTTTTCTGCCTGTGAGTTTCATTGGGCAGATTGTTATTGCTCTGGTCTAAAAATTTGCAATCAGCCCTCTTTGTCAGTTAGTTCCATTAAAGAGGTTTTGAGCTTGCCTCTATTTAAATCACAGATCTTAAAGGTCCAGTGTGTAGGATTTTGGGAGATATATTGGCAGAAATAGATTACAGTAGTCATATGAATATTTTCATTAGTGTATAACTACACAGAAATAATAATCATTCTGTCTCATTCATGAAATGTTAGTAGATCTGAGAGTCGATTTAGCCTTGGTGCTAAAAACCTACACCGGATTCATGAACACCGCAGAAAACCCAGATTTGATCATGGGCACGTGTGTATGTTCATGAATACCATTTAAAATGCACACTCCCTCTAGTCAGCAATTAGCATACATTCCCGCCCACGAATACCTAGTGACTACCATATGTGGAGGTGATAGGTACTATATATAGCTGCAAACCAGCAGACCAGCAAACATGGTGCAAACAGAGACTGAAGTTAGCCTGGTTGAAGTGGAGATGAGAAAAAATATTTTATATATATATAGAAGGTACAGTGATACATGTGTTATATTAAATGTTAAATCTCTATACATACTGACAGCCATCACTGATAGCTTAGTGTTTGGTCAGTAACATGAGTCTCACATTCTCGCCATTCAAACAGTTCTGGGAGTGGGAACAGGATGTCAGAAATGTAGAAGTGTATTAAGTGGATTTAAATAACCCATCGACATTTTTGAGAAACCTAATCTGAAGTTTAAATCTGCTAAATGCCAACTAATTAAGCTAAATATGTTATATTAATAATCTTTTGTCATGTTTAATTTATGTGTTTCAAAGGCATTTGTGTATTATGAACATAACAGCACAATATGAAGTGAAATTGTAATTTCTAATAATGACAAGCAATATTTATATGCATTCTTTATTTACACAGAAGCAGGAGAAGATTTTGTTAGTGCCTACGAAACAATCAGAGCTACTAACATATTGATTAATGCCTAAATACATATAAATTTCCTTCTGCCAGCAGTTTACACACAAATTTGTTCTGCTCACATTTCATGAATGAGATCCAAAGTGTCTTTGTTACTTTTTATTTTTATGTCTACATATGGAGCCGGTTCTCTTCCACAGAGTCCACCATGATGTTTCTACAGTAGCCCAGAACAGACAAACCCAACACTGGCTAGATAGGATCATTCACATTTTTGTGTCAACCACCATAGTTCTCCTACACACAGGAGAAGTTTCAGTTGGTTGCAATCTGCAACCTCACCATTTGATGGCACTAAATCCAGCACACTAGACTTTTAAGAAATTTTCAGGGACTTTTGGTGAACAGATATTTAAATTCAGATTCAAATCCATTTAATTTGACAGCTGTGTTGCTGCCTGGAGGTGTATATTACTACAGTATAAAGAACAACCAGATTTGGGGATTCTAAATGTTCTGTAGGTTGCAGGATGTAAGTGAAAGAATTGTTCAGTGGAGAATGACTCAGTGCTATGGTCTCTAAGGTTCTTCTCCGTGAAGATCAGACATAGCATTACTGAAAACCATCACCCTGGACATTCTTTTTGGATTATTGTGTTCTATAGCATGACATCTATGTAACCTCACAATGTTGTAAGATAAAATAGAATTTTTAGTTTTTAGAAGTTTTTTCTATGTGTGAAAGTGGGTGTGCGAATGGGTGAGTGAGAAGCTGATTGTAAGGTGCTTTGTATGTTATAAGGTAGAAAAGTTCTCTGTAAGTGCGGTCTGTTTACCACTTTGGAAAAACATGTATATGTTATGTAAAATGATTAACTCAACACTTCCCTGTCATGCAGTCCTAACTAAACAGCTTCCTTCTTTTCTCTGGTCCTAGCTGTAGATCGACTGTCCAGTTTGATAATGTCATCAGGCAGCAGTGATGGAGCTGCTAGACTGAACCCAGCCAGATCAGTTCAGGGGACGTCTGATGAAGGACAAGTAATACATGCAAAATCAGGGAACCACACAACCCAAGCAGACGATGACTTTCAAATACCCATCACCAATATAGATGACATTTTATCAGAAGTGAGCCTCTGTAGTGATACAAATGCACAGACCCAATTCCCCTACAAAACATTACCTAATGAGCCTGTTTCCTGCTGTTCAAGCCAAAATACTGTAACCCTGTCTGAGAAAGCTGGCACTCAGGCTGTCATCTTGGATACAGGAAATGAAAAAAGTGCCATGCTCCCTGTGGAGATGACACAAGTGAACAAACAAAAGGAAACCTGCTCCGCTGTTTTCAATGGCTCACCTTTCAGAAGGCCTGATGCTGGTTCTAAATGTATGTACCCCATAGGAGATGACAGTGATTCAAACAGTGACTCCACCACTGACAGCAGTGTAATGGTCAATAAGACAGACGGCAGTAGTGGTAGTCTTCATGAGCCCTCCTCAGATGAGGAAGAAGTAGAGTTTTGTTCCCGTGATGCCCAGCAACCTGATGCTGGGGGACGCGAGTCACCAAACAGGTCTCCATTTTTTCAGCATGCCAGCAGCCAAAAAACAAGCCTGGATCAGACCATGGATGGGTTGCAGGTCTCTGCTGAAATCTCACTGATTAACAAAGAAAAGTCTGTTACAACAACCCAAGACTCTCAGCTCTCTACAGAGCAACTATGCCAATCTGCCAACAGTACAATACCTGTGTCTTTTATAGAGTGCCACCTTAACAGTGCCATTGAACCCTGTGACAAAGTTAAAGCAATGGTGGCATCCGGTCCTGGAAGCCAAAGCACTTCCAGCAGCCCCTCCCCACCAGATACGCACAGTATCACTCAGGGTACGACTGCAAATGTGACCTCAAATTTATTGAAGTATTTGGATACACAAATACCCCATTTACCCTCAATGGAATCAGAGACCTCAGGTTCAAGCATCAGCAAGTCAGCATCAATGATGAACAAAGAAAAAGTAGTGGAGAGTGGAACTAATTTAAACCCTAGCATGCTTAAGAAGACCTCTGGGGTAAAACTTGATCATTCAGACCATCCTGTGTGTAGCAGGGACTCTAAACTCCAGGTTGAAACTCAAATCAGACCAAACACTAGTGCCCCCAAATTGAAGGGCCTTAGTATTAAGAATAAGAACAAACCCCAGATGGAGCCTCTCCAAAAACCTACCAGCAGTGAAAGTCCAATTCTTTTGAACACCAATGGTTCCGTGAACCAGTCAACGAAATTACAAACAGTAACCACAGCCAGCCTTCTGAAGACCACTAACCAGCCTGATATGAATAACTGTCTTTCATTGCCTAAAGTAAGTGACAGCAGGCAAGTTCCAGTTGAGCATGGGCCTTCAAGTGGCACATTACCAAGTGCGCAACTGGCAAAGGAGAAGGACATCCATTTAGGCTCCAGAGCACCAGCCAAATCACAGGGCCAATCACACACCCTGGCCACTCAGAGAACATTTATTGAAGTTCGACTGTCTTCCTTTTCTGGTTCATCATCACCAGTTATGGCTCGCAGCAAGACAGTGAATTCAAAAGACTCTAAACCCACTCAAAGAGACGCAGATGCAAGATTAGCTCCCATGCTTTCTCATGTCAACACAGTATTTCATTCACTGTGTCCTGCTAAAGAAACTAATTCAAGCACAAGTAATAGCTCAAAACTTATTGTGGAGACAAGTGAGACCCTGAAGTCCAGCACATCCAGACTGTACATAAAGACGATGGAAAGACGAAGCTTCTCCACAGACACTGCCTTGTCTGCAGACTACAACCCCTTCTCTGTCAGACACAAGATAAAGTCCTTTGAAAACCTGGCTAACTTTGACAAGCCGGTGGCTAAAAGCAGTGACATTCAGTCTTATGCTCTGGCATATAGAGCCTCGCTTAACCAAAGGATTGCTGGTTATATGGGCTTGGTTAATTCTATTGACTGCCGGGCACGTCAGCGGAGTTTTAGTTCTTATGTGGAAAATCTAATCTCACCCACACCCTGCTCACCTCTTCTTGGTAAATCACCATCAAGCATTAACTCCATAAACCTCGAGCTCCCAAAATCCAGCTGTAACACGGCTCCCATGACTGAAAACAATCCTGAGGCTCCAGTTCATAAAGCTCCAGATGGGACTAGACCGCAGACCCCCCAGGTACTGCGGAGGAAACACGACAGACTTCCCCGCAGCAGGTTGCGCCAGCTCAGGGCTCTCAGCATGCCTGAATTGGAAAAACTATGCACAGAGGACTTTACAGTCAGCCATGGTACAGATGTAGATTCAACTATGACTACGCCTACGAAAGCCACAGTGACTAAAAGCTCTCCACCTGCTGCAACCCTGACAGAAGTGGATGTGAACAGGGTGAGCCGAGGTGATCTTGGATCCACTGAAGAGACTCCTCAAAGAAACCCAGAGAGCCATGGGCAACAACCTGGCTGGTCAATCAGGTGGGAACTTGTTCATTTAAAATCCTGTATATTTAAAGCACATTCAAGCTACTGTGTGTAGGATTTGAAAATGTTGGACTTTAGTGCCTCCAGTGGTTTCATCAAGACACTATAGCAGACTACAGTGAAGCTATAGCCCCTTTTACACTACCTGTTCAAGGCAGGAATATTGCATTGTTCTTTTGCCTGGCCCTCCTCTATAAAAGTATGATCGCGTAGTGGGGAGTTGTCTCACCTTTAAGCCGGCAGCAAAGATAGTAACAATTCCAAATCGATGCACAGACAGCAGGATGGGACCATAGACGACCCATTGTGGGAGATTTAAAAAGCATCAAGCAGCACTTAGCAGCTAACTTGAAGAAGAACATCAGCCTAAAATGTTGGGAATGGGAAAACAATGGGGTCCAGGAGCTCCTTACCCTTGGTGCAGAGGATGAAATCAGTCGCTATCTAACAGGGATGGTTAATGATTGATATTGCTACGGTATGCCGTTATTGTTTATAAAGCGTTGCCAAAGCATATGTTACATGTCACACCTGTCATGCCTCATTTGTTTCTGGTACGCCACCATGCTATTAAAAATCATACACTGGGGTTGCATGATGCTGCTGTTGTTTGAATCTGTGCAAAAAAAGCAAAGGCACACCGCCTTTGAAGAAGGGACTTCATAGCGGTCCTATAGTGCAATCTCAGTATTAAAAAGGGCTTATGAGAGAGTAAAGGAACTCTTGGAGGCCAAAAAAATCTGACAATGAATTCATAATATGTTCATAATATTGCGGTTTTACAAGAAATAGTCATATTAATGTTGTTGATATTGTATTGTAATTTTATGTGAAAAGTTATAGAGAGAATAAAGGCATGGCAATCTGAGAAATTTCTATGACTAGGATTAGTAGTGTATAAAGGTCATCTACATTTATTCATTTTCTGAATCACAAGAGAGTTCTAAATTTGTGTTTTCTCTGCATTGTTCTTACTAGTTTTTAGTGGACAGAGCTCAGTGGAAAAAACCTGAGATTTTGTGGGTCCATGCACCAATCAGAGTTTAGCAATATTTGAATTTGTTGACAACAAGGCTACAACACAATAATGGCAACTTTTCTTGATTAGTAGCAGAGAACAGCAGAATGACTGCAGTAAACATTAACAGTAAGAGACAGTATGAAAGCACAGCTGGTACCAGTGTATCAGTGCTGTGGAAGATGAGTACAGAAACCTTTTCGAATATTCAGAGTCAAGGAAATAAAACATTGTCTCCTTTTTCTGCAGTTTAAAGGGGCTGGCTGCTTCTCCTGTGAGTCAGTGTAAATTGCAAACACTGCTGTCCTCCCAGACAGTGAAATCATATGTGTCGGCCCTGCTTCAGGAGGCCAGGGCCCTCTCAGAGGTAACTATATAGTGCTGATAGATACATTAACAAGACCTATTTCACATAAAGTTAAATATCTATTACATTCAGAAAACCATATTGTTTCAGTCCTACTTTCTGTATGATTTTTTTTGTCACACTGACTCTGACTGAACTCTCTGCAGGTTAACGATAATACTCACCTTGTTGTCCTAAGTAAAGAAGAGGGCTCAGGACTTGGTTTTAGTATTGCTGGTGGAGTCGACCTTGAGCAGAAGGCAGTAACAGTAAGTACAGTCTGTAGAGACTCTGAATCTTGCTGTTGAAACACTGGACATAGTTGCAACCCAGTTGCCAAAAGATATTTGTATTGTATATTAGTGCAAACCACGAATATGTTACATTTGCACATTTCCAACGATGAAATATGCAAATGTAACATATTCGTGTTTCTAAAGTGACATAGTATATGAGCTGACTTTGTCATTTGGAAGTCAAGGAAATGGTGGAAGGTGTGTCACCTAGGCAAGACACCTGCCAAGCTGCAGACCACTGCAGACTACTGTTCCAAACCAACAAACAACAAAAGTGGTTGTTTTTTAGCAACTCATTTCAGGATTTCTTGCAACGTTTTAGCCACCAAATGTGGGTGTTTGTCAGGGGCCCATCCTGTTTTTTTTCAGCTGGGTTCGTGTCCCCAAAACCAGGTATTTTAAGCCAAAACATGATCTTTTCCTAACTATAATCAAGTGTTTTTTGTGCCTAAACCAAACCACATGTTAACCACAGTGCTGCTGAAACCTTTAAGTTTCAATGTATCTGCTACATAATAACATGCAAATGTAACATATCCATGGTTTTCACAAAATTGCAATGCCAACATTTGGAGACTGGGTCGAGAGTTGATTATTGCAAGCTGCTCTGGTCTTTTTTGATGGGGGGTAACAAAGTCAGGAACTTTTAAATCCTACACATACTGTAGGAGCTTAAATTCTTAACTTATGCATAAGCTGTATTTGTCCTTTGTTTTGTTTTTTAAATTTCATTGTCTATGGTGCAGCTCCAGACTTTATACTTGATGACAAGTCTGAGACAAGTCCGAGACTTAGATATCTGATATCTGGAGAGTAGCTCATGTTCACAAACACTGACTGAACCCTCCTAGGCCATGGAAATAACATATTTGAATTCTTAATCCAGGTGGTCGTCTTCCCCCTCAAAGTTTGTGACAGCTTTATTTAGATGTGAGAGGACACTTAAAATTTATGTTTATTTTATTTAAGAAGGGACAGTGCACATTAATTAACATGACCACTTAAGTCACGTAAATGTGCCAGATTTAGCCATACAGGCTAATTTTCATCTGCAGTCCCTGGCAGGTTGACGGTATATTGCAGTTGAAGCTTTCATTAATGACCAATGTGAGTGCAGGAAGTTAGCTCCCTCTTTTCACACATTTTCACATTAGTATTAGAGAGAGAATTCTGCTGCCTGTTTGAATCATGCACAAGCATTATTGACAGGATGCAAGGTTGCAGCCCTCTGTTTATTTACGTGCTGTATGTAAATAGTTTTGTTATGCCTTCGCACAGGCGATAGCAATAGCCGGATGCATTGTGTTTTCGGGTTGTCCATCCTTCCACCCCATCCTTGTGAACACGATATCTCAAGGATGCCTCAAGAGAATTTCTTCAAATTTGGAGCAGATGTCCACGTAGACTCAGCGATGAACTGATTAGTTTTTGGTGGTCACACATTAAAGGTCAAGGTCACTGTGACCTTGCATCTGTCTCATCCTCATGAATGCAATGTACCATCATGTTAACTTAATCAGAGTAACATTAAGGGGTGCATGTCTGCAAGGGGTTTGATGTTATAGTGTCTCAGGAGAATCACCTGCTTGATAAAAATGCATTTAGAATTGTAAAATGGATTTAGAAGTGAAAAATGATATTAATGTTAAGGTGTTAAAATAATGTACTGTATGTGGGATGTATGGGAGGCAGATCATCTCCACATTTAAGACTAGACTTTCCTCTTTGATAAAGCGTGTTGTTAGGGCTGGCTCAGGTTTGCCTTGGACCAGCCCCTAGTTAGGCTGACATAGGCCTAGTCTGACGGGGACCTCCCATGATACCCAGAGCCTTTGTGCTCCACTGTCTCGTAGGTTCCCTCGAATCGCAGCTATGTCTGGATCATGTCACCTGGCTGTGCTGCTGCTGTTGTCCTGCCTGATGCTGACTACTACTGCTGTTATTATTAGTCATACTTATAATGTTATTATACACATGATTATTATTGTCACATACATATACTATTATATGTTGATATATAATTACAACATATGCTACCTCAATTACTGTTGTTGTTGTTATTATTAATATTATTATTATTACTAAAATAAATGTTATTGTAGCTATTGTCATTACTGTCTGCCCTGTTTCTCTCTCTGACTCTATCTCTCTCGGTCTCTCTCTGTCTCAGTTTCTCTCTCTGTCTCTCCTTCTCTTTATGTATCACTTTGTCATACGGATTACTGTAAATTTTTTATGTTGATCTGTTCTGTACGACGTCTATTGCACGTCTGTCTGTCCTGGAAGAGGGATCCCTCCTCAGTTGCTCTTCTTGAGGCTTCTACCATTTTTTTTTCCCGTTAAAGGGTTTTTGGGGGAGTTTTTCCTTATCCACTGTGAGGGTCCAAGGACAGAGGGATGTCATATGCTGTAAAGCCCTCTGAGGCAAATTGTGTATTGAATTGTGTTGAAACTGAATGTAGGTGAAGCAATGCTGGATGTGTTTTAATAGATCTTGCCAATCTCTCTGAGCAGCAGGTGGTAATACTGTAACACGTATCTTTGTATCCAGGTTCATCGAGTCTTCACCAAAGGAACCGCGAACCTTGAAGGCACGATTCAGAGAGGTGACAGCATTTTATCCATAAATGGCACAAGTCTTGGGGGTAAAACCCATGGAGAGGCTGTATCTTGCCTTCATCAAGCAAGGTTGTCCAATCAAGCCTTAGTTGTCATTTGGAGAGACAAGAACCGTGAACTGAGCGTCTCTGACATACATGACTCGGCTGGCCAGCCAAAGAGGAAGACCTCTGACAGGAAGAACTCTTTGGAACCTGGAGCAGGTAAGGCTGAGGCTTACACTTGCAACAATTCAGGCAAACCTGCATAATAGTAAAGTAGTTTATCCCCCACAGCAACAGGTCTTCCTCCAGTGTTGTGTTTGAACCTAATAACCTTTACTGTACCTGTCTTTGTTAACATTAACCTGTTCAGTAACATTGCATTTGAATACTTTTTACCTATGAAACTTATTTTTAAGCACTCTGATCTACTTGTTCTGTCAGTCCACCAGTCCAGGTCATGTATATAGACCAGTTCACTGTTTCAGACATAAAATGACTTCTATAAACAGCCTATGCTGTTGCAGTGTTAGCTGTCATCAACTGGCAGTAAGTTCACTTGGCTCCAAAAGTAAGCAGTAGCAACATCCTATAAACTACCCATTTTAATATGTCACCTTTGTAATTCTGGGTGTTGGATATCTCTCAGTAGGGGATGTGGGTCCAGGCGGTGCTGTAACGGTGGAGCTTCACAAGTCTTCTGCTGGCCTGGGCTTTAGTCTGGAAGGGGGGAAGTCCTCAAGCCAAGGAGACAGGCCTCTCATTGTCAAACGCATCTTTAAAGGTAAAATGCTTTCTAAGTCTCTCAGGAGGTATATGTTAAAGCTAAATATTCATCTAAAATCTACCATCCGATTTCAAAAAAGTTGGGGAGCTGTTTAAAATGGAAATTAAAACAAATTGCAATAATTTGCATATCATTTTCGACATACTTGATTAAGTACAGTACCAAGATAAGATATTTAATGTTTAAACTGATAAACTTCATTGTTTTTTGTAAATATACACTCATTCTGAATTTGGTGCCTGCAACATCTTCCCAAAAATTTGGGACGAGGCAACAAAATACTAGGAAAGTTGTGTGATGCTCCAAAAAACACCTGTGTGGAACATTTTACTGATAAACAGGTGAATTGGTAGTAGAGGGGCATCCTCAAAATGCTCAGTTGTTTACAAGCACGGATTGTCACTTTGTGAAAAACTCTGAAGGCAAAAAGTCTAGCAGTTTTAAGCACAGGTTTCTCAACGCACAGTTGCAAAGAATTTAGGGATTTCACCATCTACAATCAATAATATCATCAAAAGATTCAGAGAATTCCGAGAAATCTCTGCAAGTAGGGGGCACGGCTGAAAACCATCACTAAATGGCCGTAAGCTTTCACTCTTCAGGCAGCACCGTATTAAAAACTGACATGACTGTATGAAGGATATTACTACATGGGCAGGAACACAATGGTGTTCCACTGTCAGTAAACACAATTCATCACTACATCTTTAAATGCTAGCTGAGACTCTACCATGCAAAGTGAAAGCCATATATCAACAACATCCATATATTCTTCTTACTTCTCTGGACCCGAGCTCATCTGAGATGGACTGACACAAAGTGGAAAAGTGTGAAGTGGTCTGACGAGTCCACATTTCAGACTGCTTAAGGAAATCATGGACGTGGTGTCATCTGGTCGAAAGAGGAAAAGGACCATTCAGATTGTTCCCAGCTCAAAGTTCAAGCATCTGTGATGGTATTGAGGTGTGTTGGTGCTAGGGTTGAGAACGATTAACCAATACGACTGGATATCCGGTTTGACAAGCGAGAGATATGGCTACGTCGGTAGCAGCCTCCTCAATCGATACGAATCAGCCATGAATCCTTAGATGAATCGATTGTAGAGTCATGGATTCGGGTATCGCGAGACTAGCAACCGGTTGACTGACTTTAACAGTTTGCATCTCGAAAACAACGCGAGAGACGGCAGCATGCTCGTAGCAGGCATTACTGACAACGATAATGGATGTAAACATCAGCGCCAGCTTGACCGGTGGAGCTGAGGAACAGAAGCTAATGCTGGTTGGATAAACCAGGGAGCAGCCAAGCCGCAGCAGAAACTAAACGGCGAATCCTGCCAGTTGTGGGTTGAACGGGGGTCACAGACACAGACAGAAATACGTATTCTGTCAAATACGGCGGCGCATGATAACGGCTTACCGGCGACCGACAAGCCCGGCTCCAGGTCCAAGAAGTCTTCGTCGGTGTCATGACTGCCCAGAAATACCTGAACAGCCGAGCTGCAGTAGCACCAGCACACAGGTATGTGACGTGTCAGAGGCGAAACGAGCAGTTCACATTTCCACAAACCTCACTGCACTTTAGGGACTGTTCTTTACCTATGAAGGGACTGTTCTTTACTTGTCAGAGGAGGAGGGTGGCTGGTTGATTTTGATTTTATTTATTTATTTTATTTTGATCCCCCCTTATGTTAATCACTTATTGATGCTGTTTTTGAAGTATGAATAAGTCAATAAGTAATTTATTCCATTGAAATATCATTGATGTATTATAGAAAAGTGATTTATCTTTTTATAAATGACAAGATAACAGAGTGTAGCAAACACAGAGAAATAGTCTGACATGCTGTCAGTGATAAGCTGCTAGTCATCACAGTCCATGATATCAACTAATAACAGGAGATGTCAGATTCTGCCCCTACATTGCATGTTATTATTTTATTCTGCTTTATGTTTATGTTGTACAGTGTTATAATAAACTTTATTCCAGACTCAAGTCCATATAAGATACATACAAAAACACAGACAATACCATAAAAACAACACAACAAGTAGGTTTAAAACACTTAAATTTTACTTAAAGTTCACTTAAAGTTTAAAACGTCTTCTCATTTTTATATTGATCCCGTCCAACAAAATGATGTTCATTCAGCAAGACTTTTTTTGGTCCATGTCTAAAAATAAATACATTTGACATGTGATTTTGTTGTTGTTTGACTTTTTATTTTATTTTTCCCAGTGCCATACAGCAACAATGCTTGGGGATGTGGTCTTTTACAAATTTGAAAATACTGTAAGAATGTCACTTTTATAGAATTGGCTTCTTTATTTTATAATGTATGATTAATGTCTACATCAACAAATGTTAACCATAGAATCGTATCGAAT